GGCGGGGCGGTGTCGGGTGCGAGCGGCCGCCCGGGTGTTTCCTCGCTGCCGGGGTTTTCTTCACGCCTCAAACGCACCCACAGCCCCGAGCGAGCCCCGCTTCGGGGCGCCGCGGTGGGTGCCCGGCCGGGTCGGCGTGCGCTGTGGAAGCGGGGCTCCCCGGTCCCCCGTCGGGGGAGCTCCTCACGGGCCTGTGGTAGTTAGTACGTGGCCTTGCTCTCTGTTGTTGGGGGGAGCCCCTGGGGGGCTGTGTTGCAGCGGTGGGTAATCACTCGGGGCCGTTGCTCCGGTGTGGTGAGGGGGGACGACGGCCCTTCTTTGGAAAGGGACCGGCCTCCCCCAGAGAAAGCAGTGAATTGAAAGACTCGTCTGCACTTACACAGTGCTTAAATGGCAGGGATGCAAATATGCTTTTTAAGTCTTTGCCTAGTGTCACATTGCTAGTCTTGATCTTGTTACTGAGTCTTCTTGGCGCGTATTTGTATTTTTTTCTTTGGACTAGATCATCTGGGAGCAAAGCAGGACAAGTTTGGGCCCCTGAAGGATCAACAGCTTTCAAGTGTCTTATCTCAGCCAGGTTCTGTGCAGCTCTCTTAAGCAACATCTCTGATTGTGATGAGACGTTTAACTATTGGGAACCGGTAAGTGGCTTCCTCTCCTTGGAGATACTTGGGAATTTGTAGTTGGCCTGTGCAAATGCAGATTTATCTAGAACCTTGTGCTAATCTCTGTGTTTCAGTGAGAAATTTTCTTACTCAAGAATTCAGAGATGGGAAGTGCAGAACTGTCTGCTCTGTGTGATGCATATTTATTTATTTATTCAATCTCCATTGTAGACACACTACCTCGTTTATGGAAAGGGGTTTCAGACATGGGAATACTCTCCAGCCTATGCCATCCGCTCCTATGCTTACCTGTGGCTTCATGCCTTACCAGCCTTGTTCCATGCTAGAGTTCTACAAACTAACAAGGTAATCATCAGATGTGTGAAAGCTTCTTTTGTGATGAATAAACATGCCTTTAGTCTGTGTTAAGCAGCTGCTTTTTTTGTTGTCAGAGGTAAGAGAATTAGTGTTTACAAAACACCGATTTGTTTACAAACACTAACCTCCCTGTAACGATTTGCAAGGGTTTATGAGCTGACTCAATGGGATTCAAGGAAAAGTGATTGGGAAGTTGCAGGGAAATGCTGTCAGGCTCTGGTTTGATTGAGAAGCTGTCCCAGAGGGGCTGGTATCTCCTTGGTCTTTTGAGTGTGTGCAGGCCTGGGGACAGTTACCTGGCAGCCACGGGCTCTCATTCTCATGTGAGTTTCTCATTCTCCTGTAAGTTTCACCCTGGTGCTTTAGAAGCCCATATTGTTTTCTGTGCCAGCTGTCAGTGACCTTTGATTTTTTCAATAAACTATAAAAAATAATATAGTATTTTGCAAGGGATATTGCAAACTGCATTCACAGAAATGCACAGAAAAAGCACTGAATGTGCATTCTGCTTGGGTATCCACTGCCACACTTGGCATGTTTCTGCACAACAGAAAACAAAACAAGGGTAGTTCTGGTAAGTTCAGTGGACTGTGTTCACTTCCTGTGTTGCAAAGGACTTCAGCGTTAGAGGGCTAGGCTTGAGCTGCCGGGATCTTCAGCATGCCTTGGTGTGGGATCTGGACCTGCAAGAATAGGCTCATTCACTACTGCCAAACTTGCTCCATCCTGTTCAGAACTTTTGTTTTTGGGACCGACTTGTTAGTAATAGGTGCTTAAGCTTCATTGCAAACCTCATTCAGACTCTGAGTATGTCTCCTAGGTTCTTATCTTCTATTTTCTCCGATGCTTCCTGGCCTTCCTGAGCTGCATTTGTGAACTCTACTTCTACAAGTGAGTATTAGAAAGTGTCTACAGTGAATGTTTTGGAGCAATGCGAGTAACATATTCGGTTATTGCCACAGGAAATACTTCTACGCATGAGCTTCAGAGTGTATCTGGTAAATTGGGCTACTTCATGGTGAAACTTGGCAATATGTGTTCTCATGGAAACTTAATGAAATATTGGTCAGAATTCCACTGTTAGGACAAAATTGTATTCTCAGATCTGCCACCCACATCTCCACTCCAGCATTTTGTTGACTACACTCCTTTTCTCACTGATACCAGCAAGCAGGGAGTGGGAGTGTTGTAAACTGAGCTCTGCTGGAGGAGAGACTGGTGCTGTGTTTGCTTATCATAGTGAATTTTAGTGGAATACATTGATTGTTGCTGTCTGTAATGTATCTGACAATGGTGTTTACATCCACTAAAAGCAGTAGCCTGAACATACAATTATCTTGTCTAAGCTGGATTTTTATTTTTACCTGCTGCTTCTTCATTTGTGACTGTCAAGCTATTACCTTGCGTGACTTTTCTGTTGGCAATAGTCTGGTTTTGAGAATGTGAGCTGTGGCTTTTTGCGTGATGGGATTTTGTGAGAGGTGACAATCTTAGATAGATGGATGTTGCTACAGCAGTACAGACTCCCTAAGTTGCTGAGATTTGCGTGAGTGCAACTGATGGTGGTAGAAGCCAAGTATCTTCTAGAGTTTTGCACTAGTGTAACTTATGAGGATCTGGAATCCCAGGCCAGAGTCAGTCATGCTGCCCTTTAGGTTGCCTTCAGTGGCTGAGTAATGAGAATCACCCACCTTAAAGCTCTCGGGATGCTCCATGGATTGTTTGTGGTTCTGCATGCATTGAGTACTTTTCTTTTATGTACTGAGGATATTTTTGTGGTCTCTAATTCTCTCCTGCTTCCTTAGGGCTGTGTGCAAGAAGTTTGGGCTACATGTGAGCCGGCTGATGTTGGCCTTCTTGGTACTCAGCACTGGGATGTTTTGCTCATCTGCAGGTAAATTTGCTTAGCAATGATGCTAACAATTACGTTGCCCATAGAAACCAAAGACAGGTCCAGAGAGAAGAAAATCCACAGCACTAAAATATCTCTCTAGCAATTGTTTGTTGTGTTCTGTTGCCAGTGTTTCTCATGGCAGGTGTGATGACAGAATAAGTGTTGATTCAAATGATGTTCCCTGCATCACTCTCTTGTCTCTTTCCGTTTCCAGGGCATGTTTGTTTCTATTGCTGCCTCCACTCTCTGCAGTGGGCCGTGCCCTTTAAACAGGGTCTTGGCTTACTTTCCTTGAACATATTTTAATCCAAGAAAGGAGGGTCACATTTTGGCTTTGTCATTTGTCTTTGCATTTTCTCCCCCTCTGGCTGGTTGTACCCATTTGCCTCGCCAGCCACTGTAAGACTTACAAAACACCTGCTGTAGGTATTGAGTAAAGTGCAAAGAGAGACTTTGAGCAGAGGTTTTCTGCATTGTGTGCATACAGAAACTTAAAGGGAAATACCACAACTTATGAATGCTGAGATTTTCCTATTTTATGCCATTTTTGTTTATGGTGAGTGGAGAAAGGACTTTCCCTTCACTGTTTTTGCAGTGGCATAGGTCTCCTCATTCTTCACTTACTTCCCACCAGTCTCTGCCCAGTTGTTTCAGAGACTGTACCCAGTCAGCTCACGTTTTCTGCTGCCACTTGAGCAGGTTGGTTTCACTCTTTTCGACCTAGCAGAATATAGAGGGTGCAGCAAGTATTACAAGCGGTAACCATGGATGCTGTCAACTGGTTACCAGTGCTGAGTGCCACCAAGGAAAGAGCCCTTCATACTTAAAGGAAGTATTTCTGGTCTTGGCAGAACAAAAAAAAAGAATCCTTTTTTTGTTGTTTTTTTGTTTGTTTGTTTGTTTTCACTGAAATGAGTGTCCACTATAGCATACCAGCTCCAATGGAATGAATGAGAGATGATTAGCCTTATCTTGGTCTCATGCAGCTCTCCTGCTGTGGGAAAGCTGTGCTAACCCTTTTCTTTCCTTCTATTGCAGCTTTCCTCCCGAGCAGTTTCTGCATGTACACCACGGTGATTGCCATGACTGGCTGGTATATGGACAAGACCTCTGTAGCAGTGCTGGGGGTGGCTGCTGGAGCCCTTCTGGGCTGGCCCTTCAGTGCAGCTCTTGGGTAAGGAGAGGAGGGCTCAGGAGTTTTGCACTCGTCAAATATTTCTTGCCTGGCTGGGGAGAATGTAGGAGCTGGAGAGCTGGAGGAAGAAGCTAGCAGAGACTGAGCTGCCAGCCTAGTCTGGGATTATTGGTACAGGCTTCCATAGCCTGATTTCTTTACCTTTGAAGAAAAGGGTCTTCAGAACCTAATATACTGAGAGTAAGACCTGAGCTGAATGACTAGAATATGGAGTAGAAGCAGAGCCCAATGAAGTCATGGTTCTCTTCCAGCTACTGCTGTGCTTGCTTTGAAGGGGCAGGAAAGCCTGCAGTGGGGAAAGACAAAGGTCTCCGGTTGATACCTGGTCTCTCTTTCAGGCTTCCTATTGCCTTTGACTTGTTGATACTGAAGCAGAGGTGGAAAAGTTTCCTAAACTGGTGTGTGGTGTCATTGGTCCTGTTTTTGGTAAGTGCCTGTAACGACACAAAGAGGGAATGGATTGGGCTTGCAATAGAAGGGGTGGGTTTCATTAAGAAAATCACATGGAGCTTTTGGGCACTCCAGCCAAAAGCTTCTGGCACTTTAAATAACAGATGCTTTCTTCCAGGTGCCCTTGGTAGTTGTGGACAGCTATTACTATGGGAAGCTGGTAGTTGCACCTCTCAACATTGTTTTATACAATGTCTTCACCTCTCATGGACCTGATCTCTATGGTGAGTTTACGATAACAAGACAGGAAGGGAGTCTGCGGTTTTCTTGCTGCTGTCTTGCTACTGTGACCCACCAGGTCTTCACTGCCAATCCTTTTTCTGATGTATTGTAAAGCAAAAGCAGCCTGCAAGCTCCAAAGGGCTTGCAGTTCCAGCTTTTTGCCACAGGATGACTCTCTCGAGCTGGGAATCCGCAGGCCATTGTTGCATTTCTCCATGCTGTGAGTTAAGCTGCTTTTGTTCACTTTCAAGTTCTGTAAACTATCGTGAGATGTCTCAGCGACGCAGCAGAAAGCTGTTAATAGCAAACGTGTCTGGATGCTACGTCAGCGTGGTGGGCACAAGTGATACGTGCGTGCGTTTCTCAGCTTTTAAGTGAGTTGTTGGCTGTTGTTCCTCACAGCTGGGGGCAGAACCTTGGGAAAGTGGGTAACAGTGCAGAATCCATAGTTCTTTCAGTTCACATCGGGTCTCTGCAGACTTCCTGAGTCCATGCTGTGCCTTAGGAATCTCCTTGCTTATTGGCAGTATATGGCCTGGGCTTTGCTGGCAAGCAGAGTCTGAGGTTACCAGAAACACATCTAATCTGCAGGCAAATCATCTGCCTGCAAGGGGTTCCCTGGTACTGGCCATTTAGGATACTGTGTTCATATCATGTACGTCTAGAGCTGAAGAGTAGAAAAGTATTATATTTCTAGTAGGGCTTCAAAGGGGCTGGCAGAGACTTCAGGGAGCTTAGGGTGCAGGGTCCCTGCGCCATCTCTGTCATCTGTTTAAGCTCTGTCGAGATATCCTAGGAGGGAGGGATTCAGCAGTGGTTAGCAGCAAGGCTTTCTCTGGCAGTGCCCTGCAGGCCGGATTTGTTGGTTCATTTGAAGGGCTGTTTTGGGTGGTGCTGAGTGGTGATTTGTTACTTGTGCTGTGGCACAGCAGGGCAACAGCTGCTTTGCTGTGGTTCTTCATCTCTGCAGGAAGGCTCTGAAGTCTGTTGCTGTGAATTTTCTGTATGGAGACTCCAGGCTCTGTCTGTGATAGGTTTTGGCATGGGCTTGTGCCTGACCTTTTCCACACTGGTGCATGAGTTGTTTCCAGAAGCCTCCAGGGACCAATCTATTCTGAAGTGCTTTATTCATAGTGACATTCATATAACATCCTCAGGCTAGTAAAAGAGCCTGCTAGAAATTGCTCTTTAATGCAATGTGGCCAGGACAATGCTGTGTGTTTAGAGAACTTCAAAACACTTGGGAAAAATAACACTACCAGGGCAGATGAAAAGCTGGCCAATCCCTTTTGGCTTTGGAGCTGGGATTTCCCAACTTTCACATGATGGGAGCAGGAACTGCTGGAGTTTGCATAGTTATCAACCCGTATCATCTTCAATGTAAGCACCACAATATTTTTCCCTTTGCCTGCAGACTGGAGTTCTGGAGACAAGGTTTGGGTTTTTTGTTTGTTTGTTTGGGTTTTTTTTGTCTTTAGCAATACACTCCTGCTGGATAAATACAGTCTGGGCAGTGAATATTTCCCTGGGGTGATTAGGTTTCTACAGCAAAGGGAAAGTAGCATCTAAGCATATACCCCTAAGCCTGATTCTGAGGCTTTGAGATGTTTTTGTGTACATATGTTCTAAGAACGCACAATTTGTGACTAAAGTTTTGTCCCGCTTCCTGTGACCAGAGCCTTGGCTGTGACTTGAAGTGCGATGCCACTTTGGGAAGCTTTGTTCGGCTTGGGCAGAATATGCTGGAGCTGTTTATATGACACCTTGCTCTGTTGACTCCTGATTCTTAAATAGAGTGAAAAAATAAATGAAATGCGGAAAGCAGACTGTTTATTATACTAGCACTGAATCAGACTTGCTTAGAACGAGGGCTGTGACTCACGATCAAATTATTGTGGCTTAGTTACTGCTTAACAGCTGAGTTACAGTTCCTGTCTGCATGCAGGCACAGGGTGGGGCACCTTAGCTTAAACCTATTTTACAACTCCTCTGCTTTGTCCTGAGCCGCCCTCATCATTGCTGTGGTCAAGCTGCAGCATGGTAGCTTGTTAAATTCTATTAATTTGTGTGTAAGTTTGATTTCTAGAATTGCTCCTGGAGCCTGTCACAGAGCACAAAGTTCAAACCAGTTTCTGGATCAGTGTCTGACAGTGCTTCCAGCTGGTTATCTCTATGGAACCATAGTGCCATGAACTGACCGGGCCACAGTGTTCTTCCCACTGCTTTCATCAGTCTCTCCTCTACAGCCCACATCTGCTCAGCTCTAGCAGGATACTTGCAGGAAGTTAAATCTTCTGTCATGGTCTGAAGGCAATGCTGTAGAAGCATGTTCCCATCAGGACTGTGCATGGAGAGTTCTTTAGTGTCCCTCTCTGCTTGAAAGATGTTATTCTGGGACGGGACTTCTTGTATGCAATGGGGTTGTTCTTTTTTTATATTGCAGTTCTTTCTCAGATCACCTTGAGTCGTTGTGGGTAACAAGAGTAAAAGCATTTTGCCTTGGGAGGCATTGAGACTGAATGCCTCTGAATGGGTGAGTCATCACAGTGGCCAAGCCTATTGCTTTTTGCCTGGTGTCTGTGAATTATTTAACTTGCCTCTGTAATGCCCTGTTCTCCTCTCATATTTTTTCCTTTTCTTTTTTTTTGTCCTCACCCAGAGAAGAAAATCCCTCATTGGAGAAGGAGGGGAGGTTCCAGTGCTTAGTTCTTAAGGGCAATTCAGTCACACTGCAAAAAAGTCTGAGAAAGTAGCCTTTTTGCTAAAGATGTGCTTCAGACCAGCTGACCTCTTTATTACCAGAGTCCCTCAGGACACCTCTGGGCCTTTAAGGCTGTATCTGGATTGTGGAGGAGGTATGCTTCATGAAGTGTCCTTCATTCCTGAGTCCTAGGCTACCAAATCAGAGACCAGACTAGAGAGCACCATAGTTAATTTCCTTTACTTTCCATCGCAGCCAGGGCAGGTAGAAGGGTGACAGTATGGTCCCTGGTACTATCCTTTAAAGACTTGGCTGTGCTGTGCAGCTTAATTGTAGCCAGAAAACACTCAAGGGTAACAGTTTATATCAGTTTAATAAGCTTTCTCTCTCATCCTGGCATCTTCTGTGATAAAGTGGCTCTTGTTTATGGCAGTGGGAGTGGGGAAGCAGGCTATGGAACCCAGTTCCAGTCCTCTTTTATATAAGGAGAGGCCTTGGTGCTCCACAGAAGTAGTTACTAGAGTGGTGTAACCAGTGTTAACTGTGCTGTAAGTCTTTAGAAACCTGTATTATTGCCTCAGAAGAGAATCTGGAGGCAGCAGGGCTAGGAAGAAACCAAAGCCCCCTTTACACACGCTTTTCCTAGATGTCCACTGGAAGATTTACAGTGTGATACCCCAGACTGCCTCAGGTTTTCCCTCACAGACGTATCCCAGTCAGCAGCCGTGATTTCTAGGAAGGGGTAGTATGCTTCAGTGCTAAAATGATCTGCTTTATGCACGTGTTCAAGATCTGTCACAGTGATTATTTAGAATTGCAGTCCTTAAATATGGAGAGTCACCAAGAGAGTCTAGAGAAGGAGGAGGGGACCTTGGCACTGTTGCAGTGTTGCCATACAGATAACTGTCATATCTATCACTTGACATGATCTTTCAATCTACTGTATCCCATATTCAGCCTTTCACAGGCTGAGGATTGTGCTCATGTGGGACTTGCAAGAATTACGAGGCAGGTGGAAGGAGCCTTAAGGTGAATTTCTAATAATTCACTCCCTTAAGGCCCCCTACTCCCCAAAATTCAAATCTGTAACTGCTATTTGCTTTCAGTGCTAATAGCTAAAGGTTTCCTAAATGAATCTCAGTTGTTTGGACTTGGCCTTAGTAACTCCAATGACATGTATCTGACATTACTATGCAGCTTCTAATCCTACTTAGCTGTAGGAGCTGCAGAGGTTTCGGGTTTTCCTTGCTGCTTTTCAGTTGTCTGATTAATTTCAACATGGACCCTATGTAAGTGGCTCTGATTGCAGGAAATTGCTGCGGCATGTGACACGTCACAACAGTGCAGTGATTAAAGCCCCCACATGTCATTTACTGATTGATTGAGCTAATCACACTGAGACAGTGGCAAATGTGTGGAGAGGAACTGGCGTTCCTTATTGTTCAGGATTTTAAGCATCCTGAATTAAGAGTCCAAATAAATGACAGTTGGACTGGGATTTCTTTCAATTTATATCCTTTGAAGCTTGCAACCAATACCCAAGTGTGTCATGTTAGGAGGCAGAGTTGGCTTGCTCCTGTTTGAAGCTACACTGTAAGAACAAACTGAAGTAGGGACATTTTAAATAGTGTTGACTCTAAGGAGGCACCCAAACTAGCATCTGGGTGAACTTTAGTGGCAGAGTCTTTGTTGGGGCGAAGTGTGAATGTGAACTCTTTTTCTTGTTCCTTTTTAGTACATTTTCTATTTCTGCCAACATGGAGTATACATCATCACTCCAGAATTATAATGGTCTCATTAACATTGTGTGTTTTTGTTATTACTCTTCTCTGCAATTAGACAGAATGAATTTGGAGTCAAATTTCCTTGTTTTAAAAGTTTCTGCCTCTACTTTCTTGCTGTGTAGGCTTTCTTAACACAAGGGTGAGTTCTGTGCCGCAGAACTCTGCTGGGCAAGGCTGACAGTGGCCTGATTCATGAGCAGCAGATGTGATATTGAGTATGACCCAATGAAAAAGGAAGGAGAAAAATAATTTGTGAAAAGGAAGACAATGAAGTTTATTGAGCAGACATGATTGTGAGATACTCTTGTGCCTTTGTATGGCTATTGACTAACTCATGCTACTGTTATGGCCGTTTTATGGGGCAGAACCATGAGACTGCTTTGAGATGGCTCAGGCTCATTCCGTGGGGCTGCATCCTCTGTCCAGCTGCAAGATCTTCTGTCCACATCCTTTCCATTCTTTGGTTCCAATATGCTTGCAATGGGGAGAATTGATGTCTGCTGCTAATTATCTCAGTCTGTGTCAGGCAGAGAAGGAATGAAGCTGCTGTTACATGTAAATCTCATGCATGCTTGTATTTAAAACTCGTTTCCTTTTCTCATCCTTTAGGTACAGAACCCTGGTCCTTCTATTTCATCAACGGCTTTCTGAATTTCAATGTGGCATTTATTTTGGCTCTGCTTGTGCTGCCACTGACTTGTCTCATGGAGTGTCTGCTTCAGAAATTTCATGGTGAGTGCAAGACAGCTGTGAGAGCCAAGCACAGACAGCCCAGATCTCAGCCTTGTTACTACAGGGAGAGCTTGCCTGCCAAAGAGCACCTTTCCTTTATTGGAAGTGAAACTAAGTTCAGGGAAAGTCTTTGGAATAATAGGAAAGTTGCTAGAGCTCATTACTCAGTTCAGTATTGACCCCACGATGGAGGTGTAGAAAGAACACTCAGTGAGATATATCTACTTTGCATGCTGTCTGCCAAAGGGCAGAAACATTTTTCTCTTTAAGGATGATTCCTGTGTTCCCTGCTTCCACCTCAAGAAGAACAATGTGTTATGAAGGCTGAACTATCCATACCCAGAGTAAGCTTAATGAGTTGTATGGTATATAACCTTCAGCCAGATATGCAAATGTGTTAGAAGTAGCCCTGTCAGAGATCTTAAGGGGGGAAAAAAAACTGTGTACCCATTGTTGTTTCCATCTTATCTGCAGTTGGAAATGGTAGCCTTTGGAGTTATTTGCGGAACCTTTTGCTGGCTCTTCCACTGTTACTTTTTTATGCCACTGCCAGAGTGTTTTCTGCAGCAGCTTGAGAGAACAGATTACTTATTTCCTTTTTGATTGTTGGGGCTTGAGCCTACAATAGGCATCCTCTGGTCTCTGTTGCTGCCGCCCGTGTTGGGATTGAACCTGGACTCTCTGTGCACTGTGAAAGGCACTCTTCAACTCGCAGGACTGAGCCCTGGCAGGACAGTCTTGCTACCTCATGTTTTGGGAAGCGTCCCTATAGGTGTGGATATACTGAGAGTAGAGAAAGGAGGAACCAGAATATTCTGTACTTCGTGTTGGGCTTTCTTTTAAATAAAATGACATCAGTTTAAACACATGAACGTTTGGCAAGTAACTCTAGAGAGGAAGAAGGTGTTGAGGAAGTGTGAATTCTTCTCTGCTGTCTTCCTAAGGAAGATTCATTAAGTGTCAGCAGCAGCCTCCAGACTCATCAGTTCAGTTAGTGCTTCGCACTCTGATTTTTTTTTTTTTTAACTGAGTACAAGAAACAATAACATCATAATCTTTGCTGAAAATGTATGCTAACAGGTATTTGCTTATATCTGTTTCTTGGATATGACTGACATACTGTCAGAAACCAGTAAAAGCTCAGTAGGAGATCCTGTAAATGCAAGATTTCCTGCTGTTCACTTGGTGTTCTTGTACTTAACAGCAGGAGCTATTCTGCCAAGTGCTTTGTTCTTATTGTCTGTGAAATGCCGTTAGCTTAATTGCTTAACTCTGCTGTTGGGAGTAGCAAGGGGGCAGAAAAGGGACTGAAAATTGTCAGGCACTGTAGAACCCTCCTCAGTGTGACTAAAATTCAGGGTAATTGTTGTTATTTTTGAATCGGTTATTTCCTCCGTTAAGCAGAAGGTGCCTGAGAGACCTTTCATGCTGTTATTTTTGTAATGAAGGAATGAAGGTTGTGGAAACTTCAGTCACTAAACAACCATTTGTAAGTGGAAGGGTAGGTCCAGAGGAGATCCTTTCTGGTCTTTGTATGTCTAGCATAAGACACAGCAGGAAATACAGTATTTCTGACTACCTGTTTAGACATGTCAGTTCTTGATGGGTTTTGTCTGTTAGTTGGATTCAGTAATGCAGTCCCTTTATTTTCTGCTTTTGGTCTTCTGAAGTCTGTTGAAATGGTTAATATCGTAGGAATCTACAAAAATTCTCTGATCAAAATTCTATACTGACTGTTTGGATGTATTACCTGGATTTTAGCAACATGGCTGCTCAGAACATGGTGTGTTTGTGTCTGAAGGCAATGGTTTGTGTCTGAAGAATGGCTTTTGAATGTGAGATACGATTGTTCAAGAGGGGGAGGAGGATAAATCCCTCATTCTTACATTACCACTTTGCTGAGTGTTTGTTTCTTTCAGTTCAGAATCTGGGCCGTCCCTACTGGCTGACACTAGCTCCTATGTACATTTGGATCATGATTTTCTTCAGTCAGCCCCACAAAGAAGAGAGGTTTCTCTTTCCCATCTATCCCCTCATCTGTCTCTGTGGTGCTGTGGCTCTGTCTGCTCTTCAGGTAAGTTTTAGTGGAACTTTTTTTTTAATGAGCTTATACCTTTAAGAAGCATAACTGCTAGCTGACTTTAACATTGTTTCCCAAAGTTTGGGAACATGTGCAGAATATTTGTGTCTGTGACACAACCTATAGTGATTACACAGCTCAGGACTGTCCTATGCATAACTTTTGATCATCACCTTTAATCTGTTAGCGGGTACAGTTTTCATTTTTGAACCGTGTTTCATGGATAGGTGTTGGTTCTGGAAGCAAAATGCACAGCAGTTCTAATATTGAAGTGTGGAGTGTGTGTTGCTTATTTTACAAGTTAAACCATAATCTTCCTGTACAGGATGATTAAGAGTATGTGGAAAACTATTAGCCCGGTGTAAGATGTGATGTAAAAGCAAAAATATTTGGGATTTCCCTCCTGAGTGTCGTACAAAATGAGCTCATCTTGGACTTCAGTGCAGACTGCTTAACAGCCCAGCAAAAAAAGATCAAATTTCATGGCTTTATAAGGTGATCACATTAGGAGCTTGTCCGGGATTGTGTGAAGTGATAAATAGTTGAGAATATTTCCTTGCCACTAGTTATTTCGTGATGACTTTGAGCTGTTCTCCCATCCCAAGTGGGAATTTCTGGTGAGGAGGAGTTGTGTTGTGGTGCCAATAACACAACATCCAAGAGGTGTCATGAGGATTAATAACTTGCTTATAGCATTGTGTCTCCTTTGCCTGCTGTTAAGCAAGCTTTAAGGGGCAGGAATGTGTGTGTAGGAAACGCATTTTGTTGTATCCTAGTAGGAATCCTTCTCTGACTTGAAAAAAGGAAAAGCGATCTTGTTTAGGCATCGGGAAATTGCATTGGACATTTGGAAGAGCCAAAAATTGGATGTTTAGTAAATATCACCTGAAACACTTCATAGAGTAAAGTACTAATATAGACTGATATAAATCTTCCCAAAGCTCAAAATTATTAATCTTTCCTCTGTTAAAGAGGCACAGGAATGCAGTCACTAGTCCCTGTTAGAGCCTATTCCAGCTGTTCAGCCTCATTCTGCTGTTACTCCTGTCCTGCTGTGCACTACTGCTGGCTGTTCCTGTCCTGGACTCCCCACCAGCAGTGCTTGCACCCCTCAAATCACTCTCACTCTTCCTCTGGTCAGTTGCTATTCTGACTGTTAATCTCCCATCACTGCTGATGCTTTGCAGTGGGAAGCTGGAGCACCCCAGATGAGTTTCAGTCCTTGCATTTGTACAGGATCAAGCTCTGCAGTGTCAGCAGTTTTATGGCTCTGACTGAGAATTGCTATGTGCTGTCAGAACATTTATCAGAGGGCAATGGTTTAGGACCTTTGCCAAATATGGCTTTAGGAAAACCTAGTCTATATTTGTGTCCTGTATATTTTAAGTTTGATGACATTTTGTCCAGTATTCAGTATCCAACTGAGAATTTAGAACTGATTGCCCACTAGTAGTACAAGCTTGTCAGAGTCTACTCCTTCAAACCATGTGGATCTGGCTGTTATGAGAAAAAAATGCAAACAAGACAAGAGGAACAGAAATTGGATTAGGATAGGAAATGAATAATCAGTCCTGCAGAAAGGCAGAGCAGGAGGGAAGGACCAAGCCAAGTATTGGATGTAGTTCCTCCTAGGTATTCCCAGAAAGGCTTTTAAATTGGAAAAATCTGAAGGGCTTTTCTTTTAACAATTTCAGAGTGGCTTGTGTTTAAAGGTGGATGCAGCATGTGCTGTGTGTTCTTTTATCGACTTCAAAGCTGTAATTTGTGCAGACAGGGTAAACAACCATAGGTCACTCAGTAAATCTGGGTCATGGAACTTCTGTTGGAGAGGAAGTCAGTCCAGCATTGAAAATGAGCTCTGTCTGTGTTGGGAAGTTCTACAGAACTGCCCGAAAGGGACACTTGCTGCAGGTTCACCTGGGAACAACCAAGCTGCACCCCTGGTAGAGAGCACTTTACAGCTTACTAGAGGCATTCCTAGGGAAAAGAGCTGAAAATGTCTTTAAATACACCCTAGATTATCACTTAAGAAATGTGACTGAACCATGTGAGTTTCTGTGTGTGTTTTTGAGTCTGAATGAAAAAGTGAACACCAAAGATCTGGTGGGAGATGCAGGCACTGCTGTAAGGTCCTTATGAAAAACAGAATTTTGCTAAACATATGAGTTTCAGTAATTTTATATTGTTTTTTTAATCTTTCCTCAGAAATGTTACCACTTCATATTCCAGCGCTACCGCCTAGAACACTACACAGTCTCCTCCAACTGGCTGGCTCTGGGGACTGTCTTTCTCTTTGGCCTTTTGTCATTGTCACGCTCTGTTGCCTTATTCAGAGGTTGGTATTTTGGACTTGTTCTGTGCTTTCCTGGGTATTGGTCTTGGCAAGTCTTAAGGCCTGCCAAAGTTGTGCTGCTTTGACTATAGCAGCACAGTAGAAATAAGGAAGTAAGGACCCTTGAAAGTTTGGATGTCATTGTTGCAGGGAAAGGAATAAGTTCTAATGGTCACCATTAATGAATGATTATACATGTGAGTGTGTGTATCTATATGCACATTCATACATGTATGTATGAATGTATCACTAGAATTATATCAGTTAATCTGCTGACCGTCAGCCAGTACAACTATACTAATATAAAACCTGTACCCAGACTAGTATTAAACAAGATACTTTAACTTTCAAGCATATGATTCCACTTGAAAAAGCATTTTCACATGTAAAACTTGTAATTAAATGCATGTGTCCTTAGCGGAGATGGATTAGATACGGTCCTTAAGTACTTTCTTGAATCAGAGCTATGCAGTGAACCTTCCCACCTCATCATTTTTTTTTTTTTTTTGCTTGATGGTAGCCATTGACAGTCAGGACAGGAGACTGTGAATAAAGGTGGTAGGGTACAAGCACTTCTAAAAGGAGGACGAGCTTTGGAATCCAACCACTTTTTAGCATAGACCAATTCATTTATTCAAGAAGTTATCAGTTAAAAAGTTATGTATGAACAATTTTTTGTAGTCTTTCAAAAGTAGTCATGTAAATATCACCTATTTCTTTAGTCTGATTTACAACTTTCTGCCTTCCATAGGCTACCATGGGCCCCTGGACCTGTACCCAGAATTTCACAGGATTGCTACTGACCCAAGTATTCACACTGTGCCGGAGGGGAGACCAGTTAATGTCTGTGTGGGAAAGGAGTGGCACAGATTTCCAAGCAGCTTTCTCTTGCCAGATAAGTAAGTGGTTTAATAGAAAAGGTACAATTTCATGAGATTCATAAGGAGTGACACTTCTCATAAGAAGTATTTATGGGAGTAACCTTCAAGACCTTGTATCTCTGTTGACACCAGCATATCCAAAACAAAGGATTCCAAAGTTTGTTGTCAGCAGATCACGTTGGCCACAAGTTACTGAAAACTTGTAGTGTGACTGCTCCTCTAGCAGGGCTGTCTGCCCTCAGGAATGAAATGTCCTTGGTTATACTTTTGGTTTTCTCCACACAAAATGTTACTAGCTCCTGCATTTTCCTGCTGGGCTTTCTGACGCTGTTCTCTGCAGTTGGCAGCTCCAGTTCATCCTGTCAGAATTCAGAGGCCAGTTACCAAAACCGTTTGCCAAGGGGCCAATGGCCACACGGATCATTCCCACTGACATGAACGACCAAAACAAGGAAGAGCCATCTCGATACGTAAGGATCCTGTTTTCTTTTCCTTACCTTACTGTATAATTTGTATTAATATAATGTCTATGATTGGGTCTCCCCATTTTATTTCCTGAGGACCATACAAGTTACAGAACAAAAACGGGCTCTCTGCAGCACTTGGAAATTTCCCCATTTATGTGAGTGGTTTCTGCTTGCATTCCATCTGCCTATTTTTCATTTAAAGACGTAAGAATAATTAAAAAAAGAAGCAGAAGAAGCAATAATTCCTAGTTATTGCAATTTTGGGCTTAGCGTAATGTGTTACTGTGATCACAGGAAAGTGAACTGAATGAGTAGTTTGAAATCCCCCACAGAAAATGTTTGTCACTGAGCAGGAATTGAAATTTTCCTTTCTACTTTCCTTTCTTTTTAAATATAAATGTATTCATCATATTTGCAACTGAGAAGGAGGAACTTAATTTGGAACTTCACTGAAACAGTTGCATCAATGACTTCAATGGGAATCTGTTAAGATAATGTATACTGGTATTATTTATTTGTTACTTTTCCTGGTTGTATTGTGTTACCTAAACAAAAACAGTGCACACATATGAATAATTTAAAATCATTGTCAGCTAACTTCTTTAAAATTATTTAGCAAGTTAAATCTTAGCAGTGCACTAAATATTCTTTGCAGTGCACTAGATATTTAGTCATCCTTTCTTTTTTGTCCTAAGTGTCGAATGAGAGGAACTGCCAAAAAAGGCATAGTCCTTTTCATTTTCTGTTAGCACCTTGGAGGATAACTTTGGTATGTCCATCGGTATATAGGAAGCACTCAGATGTAATGGACCAGGTCTCTGGTTTGCATGAGTGGGTCTCTCCTGGCTGAAGATAGTAGGTATATGCTTGTTTATGTGGCTCATGACTTTGGCTGGTTAGACATTGTAGGAGCACTTGTGATCTGCTCACAGAAGTGGATGGAAGGCAGTAGTATAACACAGGAGCAAACTGTGTGGGTAAAAGCAGGGATCAACATTCTGGGTTAAAGCTCTCTTATTTTGAGCCTCATTATGTAGTTACTGGAAACAGGAAGGAGGCGTGTTCCCACCTGAGAGAAGCTGTCTGCTGCAGTGCATTTAATTTACGAAATCTTTAACTGTGGCATATTTTTAGCACAGACAGCTGGCTGGTACGCAGCCTGTGACTAATGGAGCAAAACACACTTTTGTTTCATGGTTGTTTCTTAATGTCACCCTACAATTTTGTTATTTCTCATGCAATCAAAAGGGCCTAGGACATTAGAAATTAGCTACTAAATGTGAATTTTAAATGGGGTTTTAAAACTTTTACTTCTGACCTGCTAATAACACCAAGAGAACATGATCTTTTCTCAAGTTTAGTGAGCTTATGAGTGCAAGCATATCCAGAATAAAAAAAAAAAGTTAGCAAGTACTGAAAAGGACCGTCATAGCGAATAAATCTAAATAGTATGAGTCTGTTGGTCATTTCAAGGGGAGAAAACAAATGGTTCAAAAGGATTATCTGAGCCATGGACAGCTTAAAACCAATTTGGCTGCAGAAATGGGACTGATCTTTCTGTTGCAAGTGTAAGTCTCTATTACTGCTCTGCTTGAAAATTGAACAGTAAATCTCAGTCTTTCTGTTGCTATGAGACACTGGGGAAAAGAGTGATTTGATCTTCTTGTTTTGCAATTCCTCCTTCCTTAATCATGTTGAACAGCACTTAACTTGTACTTGTCCTACTGGGGAGATGCATTTGTCTCTGAAACTGCTAAGAAAGAGGTAAGGAGTATTCTCTGTTACAAAGATGTATCCAAGCAGGAACAGTAGATTAGGCCTAAAAGCTGAAACTGTTAAAAACTCCTGACTTCAGAGGAAGTTTTTTTAATGACTTTATTTTCACTTCTTTTCCAATTCCCTTTAGCTCTGTTTTGAACCATAGGAACCACCTGAAGCTTGGTCTCATTTTTGACATATGCATTTGAGTGATCAGTAAAACATCTCTGGCTTTACTCAAAACAGGTGAACTTTATCTGTGGTAAACCAGACAAGCTCTTTTTGTGCTTTGTGTGGCCAGGCTAACATCTATCCAGACACTGATGGGAGACACGTGGCTGCAGCAGTACAGCAGCAGGCTGTGCCCTTAGCTCCATCTCTGTACTGTGCTGTGCCCACTCCTGTTACTCAGGATGTGATCGAATGTAGTTCTCTACCACTTAGCGTAGCGGTTGCATCAGATAAAAAAGGAGTGGGAGGAGGAAAAGGAAAGGAGAACAGGAGAGGATAGGATGTAATTTAGAAATTCCTTGAAGCTCCATTCACTAAGAATGTCTTCTTTCTACAAAGAAACATTTCAAGGTCTGTACACCACTGAAGTCTTGGGTAAATCCCGAAATAAAGGCATAGGTGCCGTGCTGGGCCTCTGACTAGGATGACGATTATCCTTAGCTTCAGTGTAACTTGTAAGAAGGCACTGTGCTCTACTTGGAATAGTGGAAGGGACATCTGTGTTTCACCTGGTGGATAATTCATATGCATTGGAAGTGCCAGCCCTTTTAGGGGAGCATTTAGAATGAGAGAAGTGAGATCAGTCTTAGTGCTTGAGGCAGTAACTTGTCTTTCTCTGAATGATTCTACATCGCTTACAGAAAAACTTGGTTAGTGGTTTGGGAGTCTTTTTGCTAATGAGCCAGAACCTCTCTTAGGGCCTGGAATGTTCTTTTCATACAGTGCAAGAAGTGGATTCAATGTTCTCCTCAGCTGAGTTTCCCATGGTGTAATTTCATTTGCCACTCAGTTGTGATGCCAGGGAGCCATCTGGTATCCACCTAATTGAATTGTTTTCAGCCTAAATTGTTACAATAAACCCCAAAGGTGCTTCAGAAAAGTGAATTCAAGCATGTCCAAGGAAGTTTGCAATAAAATTTTGTGGGAGAACAAACTGAAATGTGGGATACCTCAAGGGAGTGTTTGAGGGAGTAAGAATAAGACATAGTCATCCTGGCCTTTGCAAACCTGGCTTAAGGGGCCTTAGCTTTTCATTGGACTATTCCAGCTATAGCTGCCCTGCCTTTTTCTTCACCTTTTCAATGTGGCAAACTTATGCAGTGACTGTAAGGAAATTTGTTTCCTTGCTGAAACACCTGGTCATCACACATTACCTTTTTTCTGACTTGATGAGATGCACACACTGTTGTGCAATCAACAAGATACAACTGTGTATGTTGTGTTCTGCCATTGTTAATTAAAGGGAAAACTGCTACCTGGGAGAGCTGACCTCCGAAAGAGTGATACAGATCTTTCATGAAGGTCATGGGCCCTCTGTGTAAAGGTCAGTGAAACCAAATGGATCAGGACTTGTGGCTCCCCAAACTTGATGATGTTCCTTCCATCAGGCATGTAACTTATTAATGCGAGTCCTCCTCCTGATAGGGTCCTTAGGCTTTCCCTTCCAGACTCTGTTGCCCTGACTGCAAAAAAAAAAGAAATAAATCTGGAGGGGTGTGTCATTTTACAAAGGTCAGTGGTGATCTGACCTTGCAAGAACTCCCTTGTAGCCTGTGTGTTGAAAAGCTTGCGCATGAAAAAGGCGAGATTGCGATCTACATTCTGTTCAGAGCCCCTGAGGGACAAACAAGGACCAAGAGTTTGTGTCACCAGCTGAGAGACAATTTTGTGTGCGCTGTTGACAGGATCTGATTATGATGCTGTGTGATGCTGGGGCCATGGAGCCTGTTTCCAGAAAATAATTCAGCACAATGATTTGTTTTTCTTGCTGTCTTCAGAAAAAACTTGTAACCAGTTTACACCAAGACGCATGATGGAAGTTCTTAGCTTAGCACAAAAATTTCCTTACAGGTCACTTAGTCTCCTCATGAATTTCTTTCCTGAAAGTGTAGTGGGCTGCCCAGTGGAAGGTGTCCTTGTTTACGCCTGGGAGTGGGAAAGAAGTGTGTTAGAAGCATGCACCTGTCCTTCTCCTGTTCATGCAGTTGGGAGTTCAAACACAGGCTTGGCAGCAGCAGCAGGGTGTTTGGGAGGAGCTGGCTGGACCTTTTATTTGCTTGCCAGTTTCCTTGGTGTTTGCTGATCTAATAGGGCTAGGATTAGATGGTACAAAGTGGCCCACCACTCTGATAACCCTGTCCTGCTGGATGCAGGGATTGGTGGCAGCTGTAAACTGAGATATCACAGTTGAAAACTTGGTATTTTTCCTAAATTCCCATGTCAAGTCTCTTTCCTTTCTCCCTTGTATTCCACCTGGGTGAAACATCTGCACAACTAATGAGACTCATGTTACAATTTGCAAATATTTATTGATCAGAAGTTATGTCTTGTCTTCTGTTCCACTTAACCTGAGGAAAGACTCTGGTGATGTAGCTGTTTTATATATAAATACATGTATTTTAGTTCCCTGATGTCTCCCAGATCAAAATATTTACATGATTGAAGGAAACCACCAGTAAGTACTAGGATGTGCTGTGCTTCACTGGTGTCTTTTCTCAGAAATTTCAAAATACTGTACTACATTTTAATGTACAATGCTTAATAACATATCAGAGGCAGACGTGGGAATCGTTAGTCCCCTTTGGCAGTTGGGAATACTGGAGTGCCACAAGGGCAGCTTGTGGACCAGCAGAGCCAGAAAAAGCCTCCAAGAATTCTGTGCGTTCTCAGTTCGCAGAAAGAAATACTGGAGACAGAACTTTGACATTAATTTGATTGGAAGTGGCATGAGCACAAGATAGTTGCAGGCGTCAGTCCTGTTGACTTCTAGTGCCTCTCAGGTCACTACTGCATGCTTTTGCCAGAAACCTCAGCCAGTGCCAGATGTGAGAAAGCGTGACCCTTGGCTTCCAAAACCTAATGTCAGCAAAATACCCAAGTAGAGAGGCAATAACTGGTAGAGCTCGCTTTGCTCCAGTGGCTGAAAATCATTATGCCAGCAAAAGCTCAGCCTTGCTGCTGTACACTGCATCCATGAGGGGCTCATTTTTCTGATGTATTGTAATGATATAGCTACCCTGGTACAATTTAAACATGGCCTTAGGCTTGGGATTATTTCACTTTTGAAAATGTGACTTAGATCACTTAAAGACATAAATCTTCA